AGTTCCTCACCTTCAAACCCATGTTCAACTCAACTTGTTTCGAGTACATGAAATCTCACATTGAAAATGCGGGCGGTTACTTGGTGTCCAATGACGCAACATCAGATTGTCAGTTCTGCCCGATTTCGGAAAGTAACAAATACCTTGAGACTGTCAGCACATACTACAAGGATCGGTGGAGAAACTTTGGCATCCTCTGGGTTTATTTACTTTTCAACATCGGGGCTTCTCTGTTAATTTACTGGCTAGCCCGTGTGCCTAAAACAAGTTCGGACAAGAAGAAAAAGGCCTGATTCTGCATCTAGAGCTCGTCAGGTCATTATAATTTAACAAGCTAGATATTAATGCTTTGATAAATCTTCCATCTATAAAAAGGTTCATCTTGTAATGCTCAGGCTACGAAAGCAACCTGCTGTCCTCTCTTATAAGTTTAAAAAGAAGATAGCTACACTATGCCTCATAAGCCTTGTGTTACTGAGTCGACTTCGTCTACATCTTCCTGGCTTCGAAGCTGTCTCAGTCCCTGATAACGCCAGTCCGATATGTAAGTCTCAAACGCCCGCTCCCCATGTTTGCCGTTTGACGTTGCATATACTCCGACCACGGCGCCTAATAAGAATCACGATTCATTATCAGTACATGAAAGATATTTCCTTGACGGCAGTAGAAGCGCCCATAGGTCTTGGGTAAGTACTTACCAGAATAATATGGCACCAAGTCGCGACCTTGGCAGTAGCCCAGAACTCGCGGCTCAGCTTCTCCTCCCTTGTTGCCACCTCCAGGCCCTGCGGAAAAGGCAAAATGCGTGCTATTGACAGCTTCTACCTGCAGGGTCAGCTTCGATCCAGCCCACTCTCGCGGCACCTCAATAACTTCAGTGCGAATATCAGATCGCCCGCGATACATGGTCTCTGAATGTCCGCGGAATCGAATGTGAGGTACCAAGTACCCAGTACCGTTGGTGTAGCTGTTTGCGTTGTTGATGCCCGAGTATGAGTTGTTCCCCCATCCATGACTGTCTCTGTCAAGCATCACCACACCAATATCGCAATGTTGCGCCTGATCTTGAACGATCGATACACCAACTTCCATTTCCTCCATGTTGAATGATTTGTCGAGTTCAACGTTCACCTGGAACTTGAATAGCGAGTGTGCCATCCGCCTCCCGATAAATGTCTGACCTCGTCCCAGTGCATAATCACCATCAAATCCAGTGAGATTGAGCACTGAAGATTTCAAGGCGAGGGTGTTGGGCCGCCCAGGCGGAGAAACTATATAATTTTGTTTTTTAGGCAGCCTCCAATGAACAAAGTGGATGGGGAGACTGCTACCAGGAGGAAATGTGACATGATCGTCGGCATCGCTGAGCTGGCCCTCACCTTGCTCAGGCACAGATGCAGGAGGTAGTGGCCAGCCAGTCATGTTACCCTTTATGGGGTCAAAGACTGGAAACTCGCCTTCATTCCATGTCACAGGCGTCAACACTGTCTCCCTTCCCATTGGTAGGTTACCAAAATAAGGGCCAGGAGCTTCGCCATAAGAACCGCCCGCTCGAACAGCTAACGCAGACGCCCACCAATTTCCGTTAGGATCCTGGAAGAGGTCTGCATGTCCTACGGCCTGGAAGTACGATGAGGTATCGTTGGCGGCGGTAAGCAGGGGATTACCGGGTGCTGGTTCCCAAGGCCCCTGAAGTGTCTTTGCGCGTGCCATTGTCACCATGTGCTTCTCTCTTGTCCCGCCCTCGGCGATTAGCTGGTAGTACCAACCATCATCTCGCTTCCAGATATGAGGACCCTCAGGAGATGCCCCGCCAGTTCCATTCCAAGGCATTATGATGTCCCCGATCTCCCCTGTTTCGAAATTCAGCGGTGCATGCATGACGCCAGGATAGTAGGCAGCGGTGTGTGCGCCCGATACCCAAGTCTTTCCATCCGCATCCCAAAATGGCGATGGATCAAACCCGGGGAAGCTGAAATGTACAGGATCTGACCAGGCGTCTGAGCTATAGGGATCGCTTGTTGTGATTAAGAAATTGTCCCAGCGGGAGTCATTAGTCCGTGGTGCTTGCTGGTTCACCAATGTCGACATGAGATAGAAAGTCCCCTCATGATAACGCAGAGTGGGAGCATAAATTCCACTGGTGGCTTTGGGGAGGAAAGCCAATCCAGGGAGCTGATCAGCTCGAGAAAAGCCATTGGAAACATGCTTCCACTGCACAAGATCCTGAGAAGCATGGATGGGAAGACCAGGGAAGACCAAGAAGCTTGAGGCGACGCAGAAGAATGTGTTATTGAATTCTGGGACAAAGATACAGCTGGGGTCTGGGTGGAAACCGCTGATGATCGGGTTTTGAAAGGTAGAGTTTGTTGATTGCGCGATGCTAGTAGCCACAGCAGCTCCCAGTAGCACGCTCACATGCCGTTGAGGCCTCATTTTCACCCCGTTCGACTCTTCTCGGAGTCTCTTGAAGAATATCCTAGAGGAACCAGTATTCTTAGACTCTACGGGTCCCCTTGACCTAGTCAAGAAAACGCTCTCTGTTTATACTTGGTTGGCATGGCCATCTTTTCCCCACACTCCCCGCAAACACTTTAACCAAACCAATGTCGTCAATGCAACTCTCATCCCTGTAAATCCAAACCAAGGGTTTAATACCCCGACTGTTGCCAGATGCAGAAGTTATGCTCTTTTCCGTGCCGATCCAGTCTTTCGTAATGGAGTCAAGATGATTTTCCGATTTAGCCTGAATGATAGCCGAATAAGCTACGGATATCAGTTGCACCATCGTCTCCGCATCAGTGGATGGAGAAAAGATATACTCTACCTTCTTGAACTCTGAATGATCAAAATGTGGGTGGAAGTTACGATACCTCTACACAAAATTGATCTCCCCGCATCATTTGCAAATCCCTATTACTCTCAAGCCCCAGGGGCTGTTCACAAATGGCTCTGGAGATTACAGTGATGCGGATATCGTCTTACCATAGGTTCAAAAGTCCAAAAAAAAATGCAATCAACGCCCTAAGCAACAAATTACGATCAGTATGTTCGTAATCTTGCCGCCGTCTCATGCACTATTTGTTGTAAAGGTCTGCCTGGAGGCCAAACACTGCAGAGGTCATCGCCAGGATTGCTGTTGACTTTGGAATACTTACGCATGGTGAAGGTAGTCTACAGGAGGTGTGAAAAGTAGCGAGCGGTGGCAGCCAATCGCGTCTCATGAAAACAACGCGATATCCTCATCGTCGCACGAGATACATCAGAAGCGGGTGTTTCTTCTGTACATCTTCTTCACTCGGACGGCAAGCCGTCTGAAGCAATGAAAATGAGCTCGGGTTCGCGTCACCTGGAGGCAGTGTAATACCAGGGACACTGTGGGCGAGATCGTGTGCAAGCACAGAGGAAATCGCCCGAAGACCAAAAATAGGAATAATCACGATTGGTCTCCTTAGAGACCTTTCAGAGATTAAACTGAAAAGAACAGATACTACACTTGATCTAAGCCAAAAGGCAAAGAGAGCTAAGGAGAAAGGAAAAAAAGAGTGAAAGAGTGGGAGGACCGACGCGTATTTATACCTCTCCAGAAGGCGGTGAGCAGGAGTGATTGGCAGAAAAAAATTACCTAGGCAGCGACCAAGGTAGAATGAGCCAATCACAGGCCATTTCTGGTGTATGTCGACAAATCAAAAATTCGCTCCAGCAGACAGGCTCTGATTGGTCCTTTTTAAAACCAGTCCAAACTACCCTAGAGGCAACATATTCCTCTCTTCAAAGATCATTTCGCCACGAAAATATCTGACAAGTGCGTCGGTGGGCATAGGAATAAGATTTCCACTTATTGGTTTATTAAGAATCGTTTGGTTCTGTTTTGCGGTTAGATTAATCAGGTGTAGACCTTTCAATGCAAGAATTTGACGCCAGGCATCAAAGTCGACAACAATATAATATACATCGCGCTACATAAGTGATTTGATACCACGTAATCTTGTCTAGTTTGATATGAAATTTCGAAATCGACCATTGAAAATCCACATAGCAGCAGAGATGGGTTGCTTATCCACTGGTACGAAGAATGACAGAACGCGTAGGATGAGAATCTTAGTCTAACAAGTGGTTGAGACACTCAAACATCAAGCTGCTTATTCTCCAGTCTGCAACCGGCATTATCAAATTATTGAGTGCTAATAATATATGCTTGAGAGATAATATGACGAATGTTGTCATTTTCTTTCATTTTATGCTACTGAATTCCTTGATTTATCTTTGAAAATAGAACCACTGTTCCAATGAGTGTCTCATTTCTCCTGTCACCCACTTGTCTAGGTAGGCATAAACACGATCCAACGCAATAGCGCCTGGTAGTAGTTATCGTTCTCATTGACGTTTGCGGCCGTCTCTCAGACTTTGGAATTTATCATTTTGCCCCTTTTGAACATATTTCTTCGCGCAAATAGAATCACCTTGGGTTGAACACATTTGTGAGTGGATGGTCAATGACTCGACTCTGTCAGCAGCTCAGTGAGATTTAGTGGAGCTTGTCTTGCTTCTCCCTCATCTCAAGTGGTGATGAGCACTCAATGTCACTAATCCATAGCCTAGTCACCCCGTTCTGCCTCCAATTCAGCTTCATTACAAGCTAAAACTTTTCGGACTCGGTGATTTGATCTAGAGGATGGTTTAATCAACAGGAACGAGATGAATAAAATCACATGAATACAAAAAGCTGGACCCAACTTGAGTGAAATACATAGAGGTCTCATTGTGGCTACGGGAACTAGCCATATTGGATACAGTTTTCAAAAATTCTGCGTGTCATTATTTCGTCATTAAATGTTAAGACAGAAAGGTGAGACATTAATAATACAGGATGAAAAATAGCATTTTCGTCATGGAGCGCGCTTCTCGGGAAAGCAACCCAAAGCTCTATTCCTGCTTCCTAAGCCAAGATGGTCTCTTCTCAGCCAACTCCATCCTGATTTTGGCTGTTCCACCCCCTCATGGATACTTTAGTATTCCTTGAGGGACGAGTAGCTCCAGGTCTTAATGGCGGAGCCGCTCCACCCCCGCCTGGGGTCATCCCCAACTTCGAGAACCCTCCTGATGCTGGCCGTATTGCCACTATTGCTGTCTTCGCGGTGTGCTACCCCCTATCGACGGCCTTGTTTGCCACACGCATCTACTCCAAGATTGTGATTATCCGACAGTTGGTCCTGGAGGATGGTAGGCCTTGTCCCACTACTTGGTTTCTATCGTCAGCGTACGCCGTGCTAATCTGTCGACCAGTTACTTGTTTTCTAGCATGGGTTAGCTGCGACTCAACCTTGCATTGCAGACCATATCTGACTGATTCAGGTGCTCATGACAGCTTTCACCGCAACATCTATCCAATGTACGTTGAGAAGTTGCCTCGTATCTTCTAACAACATCCTTACGCAAGATCCTAGTAATTCGCCATGGAATGGGCTATCACACGTGGGATGTGGCCCCGGATGAGTATGCAGAGATGCTTGAGGTAGTGTTTTTGCTCCTTTTTGCGGCAAACTAGATGCTGACCACATCCAAGTGGGTATACATCACTTCGATACTGTATGAACCCGCGGCCTATTTTACAAAGGTAACGCTCCTACTACTACTTGCCCGAGTGTTCGCTGTCCACACGAAGATATCTAAGGGTATTCACTACTTCAACGTGGCCCTCTTGATTGCATATATTCCTCTTCTTGCTGTTAAGATTGCGCTTTGTCAGCCAATCCCAGGGTTTTGGAGACAAGATGTTGAAGGAAGGTGTCTCGACCTCCGTGAAATCCTCATTATTGATGTCGCATTCGCGATAGCGACAGACACACTGATATTCACCATCCCGATTCCACTCATATGGCAACTGCGGACACCATGGACTAAGAAGATCAAATTTGTCCTTCTTCTCGGGGCCGGAGGGGCTGCAACCGCCTTTACTGTTTACCGACTGGTTCTTCTGAACAATGGCAAGGATGTAGCAGCGGATTTTGCCATGCTTGACCTCTTAACGTACGTTTCTCTCCTCTCGATAACTTGGCAACTCCTGAGGTGGAAAAAGCTGATTACCTGTATACCTTTGCTTTGTGATAGGATGCTTGAGCTGACAATTGGGCTTGTGTGCTCATGCCTCCCTGCCGTTAACATCTTGATTGATCGAATACGTAAGCCCCCCAGGCCCCGGCCCGCGAATGGGCCACGCACCGGCCGTTTTCACCGAGGAGAAAGCGGTAAACGTGTTCCATTCACTTGGAACTGGATTGAGGTGACTCAACCAGACGAACAATCACAGTCTGGGCGGAGCGAAAGACAGCTGAACTCCACAGAAGATGGGGGATTATCCACACATCATGCCACGACAGTAGAATCACAGCCAGAGAGGACCCAAGAGCGAGCTGAATTCAACGAGTCTGAGAACATATTAAACCAAGGAGACGACGACATCATGGCATTGAATGGCGGTTGTTCCCCCTGTGGTGATAATTCCGCATGTTATGGACACCGTGAAGGGTGGCTTTGTTCGTGCGCACACAAGGACCGGGATCGAGATCGGGAACGAGGTCTATCAAACCAACAGGAAGAAACTCCAATATCGCTCGGCCGCAATAGCGAAGGCGAGAAATCGAGAGCCGTTTCTTCCAAACTTGCTGACATTAGTGGGCAGAGACAGTGGGATTATATTTTTGATGGCAGAAGCAACTCCCATCCCCCGATAAAGCGGACCTAGACTTCATTTTTCGAATTGTTTGTATAGGCACTCGACTCCTCCCTTTCTTGTGCATAGGCACTAGACGCTAATTCTAGCGCTTGTGGTAGCCTTATAGATTCCATTGTCTCATGTCTGGAACCTGCTCCCGACCTCGCAGCTCGCCCTCGTCCCGACATGCGCCAAAGCCGGTTATGTTCTTGGCTACATTGAACATCCACTAAATAAACTCCCTTCTTTCTTTTTGACTATACCACCCGACCTTGTATCTAAGCTGAGGTGTAGCAAAAAAGAAATTCTTCTTAATATATACGAATATAGATGGCTTTCTACACGAAGGAACATGGGCTTCGGGCGTATTCGCGGATGATATTGTTGTTTATCTAAATTCCCTCATCTTTACCTTCGCTAGACATCCAATCCTGGATGGTTTCCACCGTGGCCATATACCCATGAGCCAAAGCGATGTCCACGGCAGTTTCGTACTGGTCCGAACACACGCCACATTCTAATAAGAACTGCACCATATCTAGCCGACCTCTCTCTGCTGCCGCCTGCAATGCTGTCCGCCCACCGAAATTGGCCCCTGGAGCATCGATATCAGCGCCCAAGGCAATCAATCTCCTTGCAAGACCTATCTGCCCGGTTGCGGCCGCGATCTGTAGTGCCGTGGCACCTTTAAACTCGGCCGCTGGAGAATTTACGTTCGCGCCAGCATCAAGAAGCAGGTCTATCATTGATAGATCCTTGAGTGCGACCGCGTGCTGTAGCGCAGTGCGAGCAGGGATCACCCTATCCTCCTCTTCGTAGCCGAGAGCTTGACTACATGTAGTTGATGAGGCATTGACATCGACGCCCAGATTAAGAAAGTGTTCAACAACATCGCGGCGCCGTGACCTGATAGCTGCTTGGAGAGGTGTCTCTAACTTTTCGCGTGAACCTCTACTGATATCTCGTATGTGCATGTGAGAGGTGAGACGCTGAATTTCTGTCAAAGGGTGACTCCTGGTCGCTACAAGCAACGACAGACGGTCTGGCCGGTAGCCTGCATCCAACAAACTTCGGATAGTCGGCCAATCGTTGGCCAAAATAAAAGGAAGGATGATGGAACACCGAATCGCATTCGGATCTTTCCAGTACTGTCTCTGTGTTCCGTAACTCCGCTTAAGCTGGTAGGGTCCCTCTATAAGAGTATAATAGCCAACATCTTCAACCAGGGGTAGAATGCAGTCTCCAGTGTGCCAAAACTTTAGCAGACGATCGGTAACCCAATTTTGGTTCCAGAAGGCTGCATATGCTAACGCTGTTCCTTCGAGGATATCGCCGGTTTTGGTTCGATGCCGTTTCCTTAGTAGCGAGGCAAGATGAATTTCGTTGCTTTGATCAGTACCTATGCCCGAGGTCACGGCCACGCAGAGAGCGCGAGAGCTGTATGGAAGATCCTGTAGATCTATCAACCAAGACATGAGCTCCCAGTTCTTGCTTTTCGCCGCCGCAACTAGGAGGGATCCTTCATTTCCCTCACACTGGAGGGCTGCACCGTGATCGAGAAGAAGTTTCACGATTTGGCGATTCCCTCCTTTGCAGGCTTCTTTGACCAGATTCGGTCGGTCCATGCTGGTGCCGGCCTGGATGAGATATTCGAAGAGGCCTACGGATTGGTGCTTAATGCATATTTCCAACGCGTTGCGGCCAGACGAGTCGACTTCATTGACATCGACGTCGCCTCGACGTACAAGTTCTTGCATCAGTTCGATGCTATTTAATGCTGACGCCGAGGCAAACTCACCACCCGTAAGATTTGCCCCAGCTCGAAGTAAAAGAAGAGCCGGCCTACTGGATTTGGTCATGTATCTTGAAGTAGGGGGCAGTAGGGCAAGCTGGAGGGCAGTGCTGCTCTCTTTTCCCTCCCCATGCCATCCAAAATCCGAGTCACCGTCCTCTGAGCCCGAGAATTGGGATACCTCGGTGTCTGTAGCTGAATATGCCGGAGCGTTGATATGAGCCCCGTAACTGAGAAGAAGCTTCAGCATCTTTTCCTCTCCTCCCTTGGACGCTGCAAGGTGAATGGGTCCCATATCAATGCCTCTGGACTCATAAGTCCCCATATTAGGATCAGCACCGTTTTCAAGGAGAAGCTGAGCCATTAATACCATCTCAGCTCTGTATGAGTGGTGCACGGCACAGATGAGCGGAGTGTACCCTTGAATAGATGTCTCGTTAGCATCAGCGCCGGCGTCTAGAAGAATCATTGCCAAGTCTCTTCGCCCGCGCGTGGCAGCCATGACTAGGGCACTCTGTATCATATCGTGGTCATCCTCTCTATCATAATGAGGTAGGAGATAACTTAGGATTTCAACTCCGCGCCTGCAACAGCTCACTTCCTGCTGATCTTCGTCGTGGTCCGACTCATATGAGTGTCTCCAGTCGGACTCAACAGCCGCCGCAAGAGCAGTATACATCACCTCTTCGTGCTCAATTGAAGCCCAAAGATCTGCTCCAGCATCCACCAATGCCTTTACAGACTGCAATGTATGTTCTTTTGCCGCCTTGAAGAGGGCAGGGCAAGCGTCTTCCTCGCCACTAACCAGATTCACATCCGCTCCGAAATGAATCAACAGCTGCAGAAACTCCTCATTACCAACCCAGTATTCGACAGCCAACTGAATAGGTCGCTGTACATGACATGACTCCGTCATCATGAGCCTATTGGGATCGGCACCTAGTTCGAGCAGTGCCTCACAAATGTCAACGGACTGGGTGTTGGCAGCTGCCTCAAATAGGTTCTCCAGAAAGGCCTTGCCTGTGGGCTGCTTCAAAGTCTGAGAGATGAACTCCTTCCACACGCTCAGAGGGAGACAAAAGCCTCTAAATAGACGTATCGTTCTCACCCCCATCTCTTCATAATCTTGACTCTCATCGCCATCTTCATCAGCTGCTTCGTCTTGGTCCTCGATCAAATTATTTGATACTTGGTACACAAATCGTAGAAGCCCTTCCCTTTTGAGTTCTATTGGATCGCCAGCTGATAAGATTTCGAGCCTTTTGGCATTATCTCCCTCAGTTTCTTCTGGCATAAAGTTATTGATCCGAGCCAGTTCTCGATTGTAGCCCCCTGGGGTACTGAGCGCTTGTAATTGCTTCGATGAAATTAAGCTTGTTTCGCCATTGGTATCTTCTTCAGGTACATTTGTTGAGTGCAGGCGAAGCTGATACATTAAGTTACTGATTGTGACGCCTGCAAAAGCAAGATGATATTAGTGATTGTGAATACCATTCATTCATGATGTGACCGGACAAACTTTGAGGAGCTTGGTTTTGAAAGCGTAACCAAGGAAGACTGGGCGGCCAAAGACTCTGGCTTAGAGAGGAATCTAATCTTAGGGCGTTGAAGCCAATAGTTAGTGGCGTTGAAGCTATTCATTGTCATATCAGTCAACCTTGAACAATTAGCGCCAGTAGTCTCAGATGTTCGCCCACCTCTCGATATCTCGACAATACTTCCTTCATCTTCCTCTGATTCGTAGTCCCTACGGTTTCTTACGTCGACGGCGATCCACTCAGAATCGCTACTCTCATTGCCATCGCCCTCTTCCGTCCTGCTAAATGGGGTGCCGTGATTCAGTATCTGTTTGCTAAGGTGAGGACTGGGATGTGTACCGTAGAGCAGGCAGCTCAATTTCATTTGATCCAACCATCTCCATTGGTGAGCTTATATGGGCTCCGATGACAACATTGGAATGGAAGCTTGTTCCATCATCTCCAACGAATTGATGCCAACAATTGAGCTGACTTCGCCTCAGGTGCGGCTGAGTGATTCGGCAAAGCCTTATTCCGGCCCCGATTATCATTTGACGCATCTCAGTTCAGCGCAAATGTTATTGGCCTACCCTACACACCGAAATACATCTAATTGCCATCGTCTCATACTGTTGCCTGTGCCCTATTTGATAGAGCTAAAGAAGCGAAATATCACAAAAGTCAAGGATTTTAAAGTGAGATATCCGATCTTGATGTAAAGCTCGATTACGCCTCAGCTTTGACTTCATGTGAAATGTCAACCCTTCCCAGCGGTAAGTTCATATTGAGGCTTTATTTATCACACTGTTCAAATGTTAGCATTTTGTTTTCTTTTGAAAACGTAGGATATGATATCGGTGCATATTATCTTCAGTAACTATAACTCTAGATAAATCCTTCTCTGTGCACAAGTCAGACTAAACTCGCCCTTGACCTTTTACTCACGCCACTCAGCATGTGCGTGAAATGTTGCTGCCAACGCTGGCTTCTTGATTCCCGCTTTGGTGCCTAGCTGTGAACAAGGGTCCGTCTGCCATCTGTCCACCTTCTTATATCCGGGAGGGGCTTTTGGGCTATTTCTTTCTTCCTTTTCCTTCTGCACATCACACTAGATAGGATCACTCACTACCAAAAAATGTTGTTTTGGCGCCTTGCATCCATTCTCTGCCCAATCGTGGCGTCTGCGCAACGCTTTGAGATCAATGTCGGCTCGGGTATCGATTCGGGCATTTTCGGTCTCATGCGAGAAGTGGACCAGGCGCAAAAAGCGGGCGACGAAGCGCGTTACCAAGAGTTGAAGAAAAAGCTCGACAACTTCCGATCGGCAAAGGTTGATTTCTCCTGGACATCGGAATGTCGCGTGAGCGCCTACTTCGACGCCGAGATCTTCACCGTGCCTGGCCCATCGAGCGTTCCCAAAGAGATTGAGTGGGCATTCCCAAAGCTGGATGAGTACTGGAGGACTGATGACGGCGGCGACTTGCCCTACCCCGGCGATTTCAACCAGTTCATGCATAAGGACGGATTTCGGGTCATCATGGTCCAGTATGATCAGCTCCCTCAGGCTGTCCGTGAATGGCGAGAGAAGAAGTTGAAGGAAGGCGATGCCAATGAACGTAAATGGATTGCCGTGGTTGATGGCATGGCTTTCTTTGCCCCCGGTGTTGTAACATGGTTGCAGCCTCTCTTTGCAACCAAGGATGTCGTTCTGGGAAAGAATGTATGTGAAGGTACGTGGTTACTCTCACAACGGTACTGGAGTGACAAGCCATACTAACACGTGCCGAATAGACCAACTCACAGACTTTCAGAACTTCCGTGGAGGGCAGAAGCGTACGGAGGACGTGAAGTTCATCACGGGCTTCAGCGGCTTGGCCGAGATCGGAACGACACTTCGGGTTCAAGCGTTCGCCGAGAAACAAGTCAAGCAATCACCTGATGGCAAAAAGGGAAAGGGCCGTAACAACGAACTGTAACTACGTCCCCGAAGAGCTGTTCTCTAGCTATTGTGGTAAACTGGTTGACGAGACAAGCATGCATTGCTTTGTGCTTCGGCAATAGCTAGATTTTGGAGAGGAAACTACACTCAACTCGAAGTTCAAAGTCGTCAGTGTTAGCAGGCTACCAAATGCTGTTCAACATGATCTGATCAGTCTCTTGCTAATTTCATGCACTGAATTTCTTATACCTTGATGAAGTTTCTATTAATGTGCCTTAATCTCAAACACCACGAGCCCTAAACTAAGCTTTCCGATGGCATTCTTAATCTTGAAGCCTCAAGTAGGTGAAATAAAACATGGCACATTGAGATAGTTCAGTATTGAACTTCAACACAATATCACAACAAATAACCTAGTACTGAACACAATATCAAGCTAAATATTATAGAATTCTTTATTACTCTCTAATTATTCTCGTATTATAATATTTAGTTAGAAAAAAACGAGGCCTCCTGCCTCGCATGGAAAGAGCTTTGGTGTGCCATGTTTTATTCCACCCACTTGAGCCTTTCTATCACGGCACAACAGAAGATGAGGTAAAGGAATTTTTAGAAGAGAAATTTGGCACGATTAGTAAATGGCTGAATCTAAGCTCAGAGTCAATGGAGAGGAAGCTACAATGGATGGCTGAGATGAACTCGGGATGGAGGATGATGGCAGGCTGTGGAGCTCGCTTGAGGGAGCTGGGGGAACGACGGACGTACAGAGAGGTCAGAGATACCGACGCCGTGCCTTCGGACCGCCCACCTCGGACCAGCTAAACGACCCACTGATCCAAGGGCTGATCGTGAGTAAGATGATAAATGCTTGCATTCATCAGACAGTGCAACTGGAATCAAAACCTAGACAGATAGCAGCAAGATTGCGACTATGGATAGTTCACACAAAAACATCCGACAACTTCGTCGATACATTACCACGCACGCTGAAGATGGAAGAACCACATTCATAACTGACTTGTCAGAAGAGCCACAGTTTAGGCAGCTTCCTGACAAAGCTGAATTCGCACTTTGTTATGCTAGCAACCAATTCCCTACCCAACTGGCAGACGACGCGGATGTCGCGACGTACAAAAATTATACTGAAAATCTGCCGGGCATTACCATATCGACGGGAACTGTTCTGCGGGTAGTAGATATGCCTCCCGGTGCGCTGTCACCAATGCATCGCACCATCAGCCTAGATTACGGGGTGGTGCTGGAAGGCAGAGTGGAGTTGGTCTTGGACTCGGGGGAGACTCGACTTCTGGAGAGTGGAGATATCTCAGTACAACGAGGAACGAACCATGCATGGCGTAACATGAGCAAGACGAGCTGGGCAAGGATGCTGTACGTGTTAGTACCTGCAGAGAATTTGGTCGTGGCTGGAGAGAGACTGGCTGACAATACTTTGGAAACAATACCCGGCCATAAGTAGAACCTAAGTAGATCTCCAATATAGAACTAAGAGACGCCTATCTATTCGTCTAAGGAACAAGCTCACCTGTCGACTGTTTCATGATAATTGAAAGCTCCATAGTGGTACTGTGCTCCATGTTGTATGAAGATGCCGTGATCTTTGCGGATTAGGTTTTGCATTTTGGCATTTGTTCAATTCTCTTTTTGGCTATGAGACAAGCGATAACTTGATGCCATAAAGTATCTAACACAGACTTCGACACGTACCACAATGTACACTCTCCCTCATACAGGATAAACAAAGCCGAGATGAAGGTGGGATCGACTAACTGCTACAACCTGAGTGTCACCCCTCGTTTCGGGATGTGGACCACAGCTCCGAGGAGGGGAACCCTGCTTGGACGGTAGTTGCCGCTCTCCCAAGATGGCGGAGAAGTTGCTGGAGATTCTCTACCAGTGGTGGAAGTGCTTGGCAGTTTGCGAAATTGTCTGCCAGCATATCTGCCACCATACAGGATATAGACTCCTGGGCTGTAAGTGGGATGGGTACCGAAGCTGAAGCCGGGCCAGCCGCTGAACGACCCGGCCGCAGTACGCAAGATGGAGGTTTTCCCGTGCAGATAAAGCGTCGAGTCAATAGCTCGCTTGGTCCATTCAAACATACAGTTGCGTTTGTTGTTTGAGCAGATGTTGGTGGATTGTCCTCCTTGGCTTTTCCCTGTGCCACGAGGCTGTACACCCAGAGGGCCAGAGCTGCTTGGTAGACGGCAATGGCGAAAAAGCCACGTAGGTGACCGGAGCGGAACTTTTCTGCTGCACGTAGTACCTGCCCAGCATGCCAGATCGCTTGTCTCGCCTCTTGCGTGTCTACCCAATCGTGCAGAATCGGGAGCGCCTGACGCGCATCCTCAATGCTGCCCTTGCCTGCAAAGCTCTCCACTTGGTGAAACGGGATGTGAAGTCTCAGCTGCACAAGCTCAAGCATGAGGCGTGGTTCCTCTACGCAGGGGGACGCATCATCGTCCATGTGAACCTGGAATTGATCTATGATGCGTATGATTTCTTGATGCTGAAGAGCTAATGCGGCACTTGAAGTTTTGGGTTTGTTAAGTGCTTCATGTAGTTGAAGATACTGCCATGCCATCCCCCAGATGCCATAAATGATAATAAGTTGAGAGAAAGTTAAATCGTAGGAACTTTCATTCAGCTCGGCAGGGTTTCGGAGATAC